GAGGGTAAACTATATCATATATCATTGAATTTTATATAATATATAGTTTATATTATTAAACTTTTAATTGTTTCTGTCACACCCCAAAATGTTAGGGTAAAAATATTAAAAATTCATTAACTAAATATTAGGATTTATTTGGTATTTTAATAATAATTTTAGGTTAAATTATAAATCAATGATGTTTCAGGGACTAACCCCATTATTCCCCCTACTTACCTAAACTAAAAATATCTTATGAAGCTAAAATAAAATAACAGAAAGCTATGAAACCTTGAAAGTATTCTATTAATGTTGAGGGTAAACTATATCATATATCATTGAATTTTATATAATATATAGTTTATATTATTAAACTTTTAATTGTTTCTGTCACACCCCAGAATAGGGTAAAAATATTAAAAATTCATTAACTAAATATTAGGATTTATTTGGTATTTTAATAATAATTTTAGGTTAAATTATAAATCAATGATGTTTCAGGGACTAACCCCATTATTCCCCCTACTTACCTAAACTAAAAATATCTTATGAAGCTAAAATAAAAAAACAGAAAGCTATGAAACCTTGAACCAATATCCTATGCATAGCTTAGGTTAGGCCATAGACAATCGGGCTACGCTACAATTTTTGATATAAAATAACAAAATTATAATTTATATTGAATAAAATGGGTTAACCCACCCCGTCGTGAATTAACTTTCCCCAATCCCCAAATAAAAATCCCTCAATCGTATTATTCCACTAAACCCGTTCACTCGTATTATTTCATCTCCGATCTAACCACCTCTGGTCAGTAGTGGAGAGCACTATCGTCGTCATCAAACTCGATAGCAATCGACGACATCAACCCGACCGTCAGACCTTCAGAATCGGTCGTTGGTCACCGTCCGATGACACAACCACCCCCATCCGAAGTGTCAAGTCACCGCGAACTAACTCCTGACATCCACTCTCTGCCAGCCGTTGACGCTCGTTTGAGAGAGAAGTTTGAAAGCTTCGGCAAAAACCCCTTGTCGTTCGGATTTTCGTGATTGTCAACCACACAAAAACCAACTGATGGGTCAAGTCGTCGTTGTCGTTTTTCTCTGTCTCCGGCATGGGTATGCTTTTCAAACTCCTTTTCGTTTATTTAATCATGTTATTGGTTGATTTTTGGGCTAATCTATGTTGGAATTGATGAGTTGGAGCTCTCAAAATTTCCAGCCATCGTCCCTGACCTCGTCGCCATCGTCATTCGTCGATAGTGCACGTGGGGCTCCTCCCCGGCCTTAGAAACCCTAGAATCGATTCGAGTCAACTCGAACCGAACCTAGTTAACCCAAATTGATATGACCAAACCATTGACTTTGACATGACCGTTGACCTACCCGTTGATTTTGACTTTGACATTAACCAATTTGACCATTAATTTTGATCAAAAAGTCAAAATTATTGAAAAGTCATATTTTATGTTTTTCGGCGCCTCGAGTTTGAATTCGAAATCTGTTTTGCCAAATTCTAACATGAAAACCTCTAAATTGACCTGTAAACTCGAATATGCATATGTAATTTAAGTAATTTATTTAAGAGATTTAATTAAGTGCAATTAATTTAAGGTCGATAATTGACTTGTGATATTGTTTAATTAAGGTACCAGTGATTCTCTCGATCTTTCGTTTGCTCGACCCGATTCCTCCCGATTCAGTCATCCACAAGAGCTCGTGGTTACTCGTATGGTTTTGTAAACTTGTTTAATACATCGTTTAGAACTTTACTCTGGTAGTAATTATGTTCTGTAATAACCTAGGTTCCTGTACAATTGAAGAGCATAGTGAAGCTAGTGCTCGATAGATCTCCTGGATTGATTCTTTTTGCGAGGTGTGTTCCTTGTGTGCTATATATATGTTTGAAATATCATGTGAACATGATTGTTTTATCTGATTCGCAATATGGCTAGATGATCTGATTTGACTTCGTATGATTTAGTTGTTTCAAGTCTGGTTTTTGATTCACTGAAGTTTATAAGCATGCTTACCTGATTCATGTTTTCTAGTTACTGTTTTTACTGAACTGATATATGTCTGAACTCTAATTTCCCTACTACTTTTATTTACTGTCTAAAAACCATTTTCTTCGAGGGTACTTTGGGATCTAGTATGAAGTCTCTATAGGTTCAGCTCCGATCAAGCTGGTAATTTCTTATGGACCTAGGACGACTCTTAGGTAGGCTCCTGGGCCCAATGAGCCTAGCGGTAAGACCTTATGGACCCAAAGGTACTCCTTTAGGTTGGCTCTTTTGCTTTGTACACTGGATAAGTCCTTATTGGCCTGAGGGCACACCCCTCAGATGGGCATCTATGCTTCGGCTAAGGTAAGACCTTATGGACCCAAGGTGCTCACTTGGTTGTCTCCTACGCCCTTTGGGCCTGGGGTCAACCCTTATGGATGTAGTTTTGGGGAACTGCATATGGTGTACGGTTGGAGGGTTGTTCTGTATTTTAAACTACAATTTTACTATCGTTTTCATAGCTTTGATAATGAACCAATTTTGAAACTCAACTGTATGTTTTTATTTTGCACACTTGGAACACATTGAGCTCCCTAGCTCACTTTTTCAAACTTTTCCTCCCTTTCATATATGTTTTGATAGGCACCCCGGATCTGGCACTTGGAGGATTGACACATTCGTACAATATATTTTGTTGTAATGTTTTTATCTTTTTATATGCCTTCATTTTCGGTGACATGTGTCCATATTTTGAAATATTTGTTTTACTACTTACATTGCTTTTGCTATTGATGTTAGAATTACATCGATACTGATTTGTGAAAGGTTTTATTTTACTCAGTCATTTATGGTTTTATATTACTCGTTTTGGACTTTATCATTATTAACCATGTTATTAAAGATGTTATTCATAACATGATTTTAAAATATTGAAGAATGCTTTGGAAATTTCTATTGTAATAAGCTAGATCTAGTCGTAACGCATAGGTTGGGTCTAGGGGGTTACAGTTTCAATTATAACACTGACCTTAGATTTTGGCTTCGATTATACCGCTAGATCGTAAAAATCCAAATGATATAGACAAAATAATATCGTTTTGGTATGGCTATTGATGCCCAAAATGATATCGTTTTAGGCATTGAACTTTAGAGGTATATCGATTTTGTCAATAAATTTTTAAATAGCCAATGAACTTTTTTTATCGCCATTGACAGTGAATCGACGCTCGTCATTCGTTACAAGATTGATATCAAAACGTCCACATTTACTCATATTTCTTCTCATCATATTAGTTTTCCACAAAACCCACTCAAAATCAATGAAATAAAAAATCCATTATTTTTTGAGACATTCGGGGCTTTCTCGAAATTGAAAGGGTTTGGATATTTGTTCGAGAATCAAACAATGCGAAGTATTATTTCGAAAAGACAAATAACATATCTCAAAATTAGTCTCATCGGAGGACTATCAAAGGAGATAAAAGTATTAACATGTCAATCCTTTAGATGAATTTTGATTGATTTTGAGTGAGTTTCATGGAAAACCAATCCAATGAGACAAAAGAGAAGTTAAATGTGAACACTTTGATATTGATCTTGTTGTGAATAACGCCAGTAACGAATTGTCACGAACGAAGATTCACTGCCATCGATAGTTGGAAATATATAGTGTCTAAAACTAATTTCTTTTAGAGTTTAGTGATAAAATCGATATACTCTTAAAGTTCAGTTCTTAAAACAATATTGTTTTAGACGTCAATTGCAATGCCAAAGAATATTATTTTGTTTACATCATTACAGTGACAAAAAAATTGTTCATATCATTGTTTCATTAAAATGTAACATTCTAATGATATAATTGAAGTTAAAATTAAAGTTTAATATTATAATCAAAGCAATTGAAAATTCAATGATATAAATGATACACCACAAAAAATTCAATAGAATCTAGTGTAAGTTACCCTAATATTTTTAATGAGAATAATAAAATTAGTTTCGATTAATATGCAAATTTAAACTTATATTTAAAATTATTTAAAACATAACATTTAATTGATCCATATACATAGAAACAGGATGGTTCATTGAAGATCTAATTATCAAATTTATCTTTAGAATAAACATGTGAAGTGTAAATTTAAAGTATTTAAAAAATTATATTTAATATATTTGGATGAATGATTCGTTAGAAATCTTATAATAAACTATACCACTATATAACTCAATCAACGGTCGGTGTATTACCTCTACATTGAATTGAATAGGGTTGCTGTAAGATGTTACATAGATTAAGGCATGCCCATAGCCCACCATATGGGTATTGGGTAGCAAATATGCACAACTTTTCCACTTTATTAAACTTATATTATTAATGTAAATATTAATGTAAATTTTGAAATAATATGATATAATATACATACTAGTTAATATTATATATGTTTCTAAAATTATTATTTAGAATAAAATGAAAAGGTTATTTGCTTGTATTTTTGTTATTTCAATTTGTTTATAATTTGTTTATATTTTAAAGTGAAATTATCATTTGATTTAAATCAAATATTAAAATTATTACATGTCACACTGTATTATTACAGAATATATATAAATATTTACATGACAATTAATAATTTATATAATAGTTTTATTAGTAAATGATATAATTAATATATACTGATAGTTTGCAGATGAAAATGAAATATTTAAAAAATTATACAACAATTTAAAATATAAAATATAGTTTTAAAATATAAAAGTTAATATAAAATAAAATCATATTTTAACTTGAAAACAGCTAAATTGAGCGATGAGCCGAGGAAAAACACGCAGTCAATTAAAACGACAACGTACGGGGTGCTTTAAGGCTGTGGAAGCATTTTACCACATCTTTCCTTGAAATTAGTCTGAAACTACGAAAAAGCCTATCAATTCAACGGCCAGAAAGAACACTAAGGTGGCGCAAACGGTAACCACAAAACTACAAAAAGGAATCCGTAATGAAAATTTAAAAAGTCAAATCTCTTACTTAACTCTAAGCTTTTGTCATTTGCTTGGCGTTTTTCGAAAAATCAATGGCTTCTTTGGTTCTCTCTTCTCCCTGTTTCCCTTCTCAAAAGCCTTGTTCTTTAACGTCTTCTCTACGGTCCAGCTTCGGAGCTCCTTTATTTGTTGGGTTCGGATCGGCCTCGAAGAGAAATGAAAGAATCAAGGTTTCGGTCGACTCCGGAGCTTATCCGCTTGTGTTTCGTGACCTCGACGCCGACGATTTCCGGCATCCGCTCGATAAACAGGTTCGGTTTACTATAGCAAATCTAATAAATATTCTTTCATACATTTTTTAATTTATTTTTGGCTTGGTTGCAGAATACGTTGCTATTGAGAGCGATTCCAGGGCTTAGCGAAATAGGAAGAGCTATACTAGGTAACCTCAATTTTTTTCTATTTACTTTTTGTAATCTGATTTTCTTTTCTTTTCCAAAATTCAAAATTAGATGGTTAAAAGCAAGACAATTAGTGCTTCATATGAAGGAAAAATCATGCTATTTTGTCATTTATTTAGTTTTTCAAGTCCATTGCTGTCTGATTTGCTAGCAAAGGGGAAGTAGTTGGAGAACCAAAGACCAAAAGTTCAAAACATAGCCTTACTGCAATTCTCATGAATTTTCTATGTTAAAGAAGCTTTTTTTTAATGCTTTATAGCAGGAAGTGTGACAGAGCAAATCATGCTGCTTGAGAATATAGGAACTTCAGTCCTTGTTTCGAAAAAACAGGTTAATTTTTTTAAAAAGTTATTCTACTGGTTTATTTCTATGTAAATTGCTTCAAATCATCACTTTTTGTCTGTATCAGCTCCCGGAACTTCATAAAATGATGATTGAAGCTGCGGGAATATTGGATATTGAACCTCCTGATCTCTATGCTCGTCAAAGTCCAGTTCCAAATGCTTATACATTGGCTATAAGTGGTAAAAAACCATTTGTTATTATTCACACTAGTCTTGTGGAGCTTCTGACACGAAAAGAATTACAGGTCTTCATTTCTTTCTCACTTTCTTTTCATCGTGGACCAAAATGTCTTGACAGCTTCTCAAATCCTATAAGATGTGTTTCTATATGCATATATGTGATTATACATGTCTAATTCGAATTAGATGCATTAGTGCAGTGAGTTAAATGATAAAATGCATTAATTTTCTTTTTCTGTGCAACTTCAAAATAGGCTGTTTTGGCTCATGAGTTGGGTCATCTCAAATGTGATCATGGTGTATGGCTTACTTTTGCAAATCTCCTCACTCTTGGAGCCTATAGCTTACCTGGTATGTCTTTTGGTTCTATGACCGTCAGTTGAGGCAACTTAGCCACTTTGATACATTCTTAATGAGAGCAAATTATATTTTTGTAATATAAATTATCTTCTAATATCTTTTTGGGAAAAAAAACCTATCTTGTAATATCACTTTTTATAACCACAATTATCATGTTATAGACAAGGATAAATGCAGGATTTTATCTTAGGTGGTGAAAACAAATTATCAATAGAAAATACAAAGAAAATACTTAAATTATATGAGAATTTGAAATTTTCAGGGGCTACTGCTCCCGCCTGCCCTCTTCGGTCATCCTTGTTGTAGATAGCCTTGATAATCAGTGATTTATATAAGAATTTCTAGTTGTTGAAATGGTATATTGTGGTTGACCTTAGGAGTACTTTATATAGTTGAGGTTGCATACATGTGGCCAGCATACATAACCATGAGCTTGCTTGGCATTTGCTGACATATATCTTACAGTAGTTTATTGAGAAAACATCCGTAGATAAAGTCCTTACAGAAATGGGAATAAAATTTCCAATATGATGCTGTAGCAAATAAGAACATATATATATATATATATATATATATATATTCTAAACAGCCTTGGATTTTGGTTGTAAGTACATATTTGGTGGCATATATCAGGAATAGTACTCTACTTTCAGTTAATAAACAACACGGTTTTGAATACCTTATTTTTTTCACAGGACGTGGTGGTTTTATAGCTGAGAGATTAGAGGAACAGTTAATCCGTTGGCTTAGGGCGGCAGAGCTAACTTGTGATCGTGCAGCACTTCTTGTTGCACAAGATCCCAAGGTATGCAAGAAAATCTCCGAGCTAACATAACCCTCAATCGAATAGGTGAGACTTCATTATCTAATTTTCGTTGTGTTGCACATACAAGAGGTCGTCGTCTCTGTTTTGATGAAATTAGCTGGTGGCTGCCCATCAATGGCTGACCAGCTAAATGTGGATGCATTTTTGGAGCAAGCTTGCTCATATGAAAAAGCTTCTTCAAGCCCAATCGGGTGGTATATAAGGTGAGCAATGGTTCGATTAGAGCATTTGGAACTTGCCTTCTGCTTTCCTTTTGGTTGTCTAATTACTTAACGATGTTCAGAAATGCTCAAACAAGGCAACTTTCGCATCCGCTGCCTGTTCTACGTGCTCGGGAGATCGATGAGTGGTCAAGAAGTGGCGAATACAGAAGTCTTCTTAAACGTGCAGCTCAGATGAGATTGTAGACAAGATAGAGATGGCAGCAGAGAGCAAAGTAAATGGAAGCAGCATTTGTAAAAAGCGTCTATATCCTAACATTTGTTCATTAATCATGATGGTCTGAATTGTGGAAAGAAAATCATAGTTGGATCTTCTGTAAGTATGACAGATGGATTTAGGGAAGTTATACTAACATAGATTTTGATACTCATAGGAACAGAACACTGTATATTGTTGTTGTCGCAACGAATTCGAATATGGCCATCTCTTGGTCCCATGGTGTCGTAAAATACAATGCCTGCTTTATTCATACGCTTCAATCATGGAGTGCCTCGAAATCCACCATTATCATATCCAAGATGCTGCAGCCTCCCCATATATCTGTAAACAACGATCCGGTTCGACCTCTTTTCAGCTGTTACATAGAGAACCGTGCCTCCGAATGTTGGTCCGGGACTGTTCCATTTTAGTTAAGCACAACAAAAGGGGCACCGATATTTTCTTTCGGTCCGAATTCCGAAGATAAGCTGTTGACAACAAAACATCTCTAGTCAGCAGCCATGAAAGCCAATCCATACTCCAATCCAAATATGGTAAATTTGGAAAGAAAAGTTCATCTCAAGGATTTGATCATGATAAGGTTAGTCAGAAATGTAGGATTGCAAGCGATATTTTGATTGGGTAAACTACACCATTGGTCACTAAAATTTAGGTTGTATATCGATTCTAGCATTTCAATTTTAGCATTAAACTTTACTTTGAGTCATGATTAAGGTATTAGAGTATTAAATCGTTAACGACATGATGATGTGATCATTTCTTCCTTATTTTTTTGCCAAAAATCATCAACTACTCCGGTCTCACTGATAATAAATCGTCGTCCATCATTAGTTGTCATTCGTAATAAGATCAATACCAAAACGTTATCATTTACTCTCTTTTCCTCATTGGATTTGTTTTTCATGAAACCAACTCAAAATCGATGAGAATACATTTAAAGATACGATGGTTTGATGCTCCAACCTAGTCTGATGAAGCTAGTTTCTAGGCATGTTATTGGTATTCTTGAAATAATGCTTCTCATAGTTTAGATTTTCGAAGAAACACCTAAAACTACTCAAATAAAAAAAGTCCTTAAACCCCAAAACTAGTGGATTTTTGTGTTCAATTTTATGAGTTTTAAAGAAATTTTGAAAAATCTAAATTGATAAAATGGTTGAAGATGATGAAATGAGTTCATTGGTGTATAGGGTAATGAAAAAAGACGCTAACGAATGACAATTTTGACAGTGATAAAAAAAATCTAACTTTAATTAAGAAGATGAGTTAGAATAAAAATTTAACTTTTGGCTTCCACATCAGTAAATGTCAGCTCCTTAACTGTCAAGTCATTCAATTGTTAATGATTTAACAACTCATTGCCCTAAATGAAACATAAACTAAAATTCAGTGCTAAAATAGAGACATTTTAAAGTTCAGCATTGAATCGATACATAATTTAAAGTTCAATGACTAATTGTGTAGTTTACCCATTTTAATTTTCCAATAGCCTGCGTTGGATGAAAGCCGCCCTCATTTATTCCTGGGACGCTGTGTCTGCTATTAAAAGGTATGAGATGGAAGATAAACAAGTAGTCATTTTCAATCATATATATGTATATATAGAAAGTAGACAAACGAAACATGACAAGCTCAAGGAACGTAACGTGAAGGGAGTTAGGTTTTTAGGGAAAGTATTACTATTGGTTACTTTGATTAAAATATAACGACAAAAGAAATGCTTGAATCGAAATGAATATTCTTCTAGCAATTTGTTTTAGATTAATGCTTGGTTGTTAATCTTTCTAGCCTGCCGTTTCTGACTTTTGCAAATGCTGATGCTTGTATAACTGCTGCCATCCTATACAGGTTTGTGTATATCTTGGTAAGTTCTTTTTTTCTTTTCCGACGATAGGAGAAGAGATCGAAGATCAGGGATTCAAACCGAGACATGTCGAATACGATATGTGATTGCGTGAACCGACTTGGCTAAACCGAGATTATCGGTACTCCTTTAAACCAGAAAGCAATTAGATCCTGCAGCTGCATGATTTTGTTCCAGCTTATTTGATTTCAAACTAACAAGAATTCTCCATTTGTTGCTGACAGATTCCTGGAGGATGGAGATGTTTAGAGCTTTTTTGAAGAGTCCCATTGGTCCCAAAACAACTCATTTCTGGGGCCCTGTTTTCAACTGGAGCCTCCCTATTGCAGTATTGCTAAATTAATACTATAATTTTCTTGGATAAAGTACATCAGATGTGATTGAATGACTTGAAAATGATTTGTTGGTGATCAAACTTTCAAATGTTTAAAAAAATATTTCAAAATATCTGAAAGTTCGATGACTAAAAAGATCATTTTGATATAATTCAGTTACCTCTGATGTCAAATCCAGTTTTTCTTGAAAACTAGCACTGCTGTTTTGAAGGCATTTGTAGACACAAAGAAACCCCCGTACATGATATCAGGCCACATGACTGCAGGTCAGTCGATCTCTGAATTCGACACATCTTTATATGATCTTAATCCGAACGAACGTGTATCGTGTCCGACGCTCAGCACTCGAATGTCCGAGTAAGGTATAATATGTTTGCTAAATCAAGGCGATTGTTGTGTTTTTCTTTTGAAGTAATTATGAGCGGATACTCGGCATTGTTCATGAGGTTTGCTTGGATGGTACAACCACGCAACATCCATCTTCTCGTCTGCCATGCCTCGAACGAGACCGTGCAGCTTTATCAGCTCTCCCGTTGGATTAATGCTCAGCAGTAAGCCTTCATTTTTTATTCGATCAACCTCGCAATATCATATACGAGATGAACACGATACAATTGAAAATATATCAAATGCGATTTCAAGAAATATCGAAATTTACATGAACACGACGAACTCGATCCGGATTTATGGTTGCTTTGTGCAGGAAGTCACAGAAGAATTATGAAACTGAGACCCTAAGCAGCAACAAAGAAGACTAGTGGCACGCTAGTGAAGTGATCATTACGCCTTGATCTTCAGTAAAAACCTTAAGTGTAACATTTGCTTCTTTCTCATGAAGATTTGTCTTTGTTTAGCTTATCTGCAGTTAGCCTTTGATTCGCATGGTTCTGGTTTGTTAAGCCAAATCGTGGTCTGAAAACAAACAATTATAGAGTTTAATCCGATATTCTAAAGGTATACTATAGATTTAATCTTCAAACGTTTATAATTTTTTTTATAAATTTATAAAAACTTTAAATTAAATTTGCATTTCAAGATTTCAAAAATATCAAATTTCTCGCTCAATTTTTAAAAAAGAACCAAACCACTTTTTAAGAGGAAAATACGGATTAAAATGTTGATTTTTTTTACGATATTAATATGACAATTTGTATAGCAGATCACATATACTTCGTACCATTATTTTTATTAAAAATTTTAACGATTCTTAATTAGAGGAAGGAAATTTTTGTTTTTGATGAGTAATAAATTCATGATCTAGAGGTGAGGCGAGGTGTCAACCGAGAGATTTTAACCACATGGTTTAAAGATTATTAATTTTTATTAATTTTTAAATTTATCAAATCTTGTATAAATTTTTAAACATTTATTGGCGTCATATATATAAGAAAAATAATATTGCATCAGTTTAAAACATATGTTAACTATTATTATAATAGTCACCTCAAAATCGTTAATATTTTAATATGTTAAGATTGTTGAAGCTAAATTGATCCACCGAAAAAGTATCAAAAGAGAGTGAATTGACCTTTTAAAAAATTTAGGTATGAAATAAAAAGAGATAGACAATTTGTACAAGGATTTATAGTGGTTCGACTTATAAACAAAATCTGCATCTACTACTTTAGCTATACATCAAAGATTTTATAACAAATTCAGTAATTTGTTCCTTTTTTAGGCTCAAGAGTAATATTTACAAAACCCTTAGTTTTTTTAATGGCTAAACTAGAATCACTCCTCTTTTATAAAGGTTGAAAGATTTGTAATGAACTCAAACACATAAGGGAAAATAGAGTGAAAAAGTTTTTCTCTTGATCTATATTGCTTGGATAGGTGTTGCAACATTCTTCAAGTCTTCTCAACTTATTTTTATATATTGTAATGAGTTTGAAGTCGTTTCTAGTTGTTAGGGGTATTAAAATTGCCCAAAACAGGGAGTATCGGTACTCCTTTAATGAGTATCGGCACTACCTTTGTAATATTTAAATACACTTGCCGTTAAAGACTGTTGGGAACGACCAATATCAATACCAGGGCTCATGGTATCAATACCATTGTGTAAAGTAGTATTCATACCTCTTGAGTATCGGTACCGATTTTACATTATAGAATTTGAACAATTTAGAAAATAATTAGAAGTATCGATACTATCTTGATAGTATCGATACTTCTCTTATCTTTGGTATCGGTACCACATGAATAGTATTGATATTATTCATGTAATATCCGATACTGTAAGAGCAATATCGGTATTACTTACCCAAAAAAACTGTTTTGTGTTTAAATTTTAGTTTTAATGGACTTCGAACAAATTCAATTAAGTCTAAAAACATTTTACTTTAATTTGTTATATCAAATATTATAAAACATGAATCAACATTTTAATTAAAATATATATATTATTTGACTTTTTCTTATTTTAAAATATATAAATTTCATTAAATTTTTAGAAAACCTTAATTTGTTCTTAATTACTCACAAACGATCTAAATTTACAAAAGTTTTTTAAATTCATAACCCCAAATTCCTCTCATGTCGCCGCTACCGTAACGAAATCTCCTATTCTCACTTCAAGATTCACAGCACCTAAGTTGTTATTTGTTTGTTTGTCACTCCATTAGAAGTTTTTCACTTTCGATTGATTCGTCATTAGTTGATTTTTGATAATAAAGAAGTGGTGTAATCAATAGTGGAAGACTGAAAAGATAAATTAAGACAATTGATTTGTTGATTAAAATAGATAACTTTAAAATTTTAAAGTTTTCAAGCTTTTAGGATTTATTTTAATTTTTAATTTTTTAAATAAAAAATAAATATGTATTATACATTATCGGATTATATAATTTTCTTAAATGAGATAAAATATTTGGCATCTATATTGATAAAGTAAAAAAATATTAATATGAGGTCATAAGCATTACAACCCCTCATTAGAACCATAACCTGAGATGCATTCCAACTTGGCCAAGCTTTTTTTAGACTCTACTGTTGAAAGCCAAAGGAGAAATCGGTGTATTAATGCACCTAATCCAAGCGGTGGAATTGTCAAAAGCAAGAAATATTTTTGTTGAAAATGTGCAAGGGTAAATTACTCAATTTAGTCCATGTACTTTAGGATATTTATAAGATTAGTCCTTAAGCTTCAACTATAAATACCCTAACTCATTTAGCTTCAAAATCATCCTAAATCATTCTAGCTTTCTCCCAATACTAGAGAATTTAGAGAGTTTTCTTTGAGAGTTGTTTTCTCCTTTTTATCAAGAGAGAATTGTCATTGTTTTCTCTTTGGTAAATAGAGAAAAGTTGTAATTCTTATTTTTCTCATAGTAAAATTCTTCTACCGTTGCCCGTGGTTTTTACCCTATATTATTTAGGGGGTTTTCACGTAAATTTTTTGTCTCTTTTATCTACATTTTTATTTTCTCAAATTATTAGTTACGATTTTGCTCTATCCGATAGCCGTCTTCTGCAACAATTGGTATCAGAGTCAAATCTGAGTGTGTAATATACACTTATTGTCTTTGTGGTTGCCACCAAAAGGTGGACCCTCAAACATAAGAAAGTAAAAATGTATTACTCATTATTTGAAGGTTCCAGAGAACTATTAACGATAGTGAAATAGTGAGAGTTATCCGTAATAAAAGTTTTGGCAACGAAATTTGATATTGAAAAGTTCAATGAGAGAAATTTCTCATTGTAAAATTTGAAGATGAATGTTATCATGAGGAAAGACGGTTGTCTAGCGGCTATTAGTGAAAGACATGTACATTTCACAAATGACAACAAATGGAACGAGATAGACAAGAATGCTATGGCAAACTTTCATCTAACATTAGCAGATGAAGTATTGTCAAGCATCGAGGAGAAGAAGACAGCTAGAATGATATGAGTTCAAAAAAAATCCAGGAAATGCAAATTCTTGGGGTATGCTGATGGAGTAAAGGGGTATCGCTTGTGGGATCCCACTACCCATAAAGTGATCATCAGCATGGATGTTATCTTTGTAGAATATAAAATACAAAGAAAAGAAGACGATGATAGAGCTGAAAAGTCAGAGATTACACAGATACATGTGGAAAAGGAGTTTGAACAATGAGATTTTTCTGAAGTAGAACCAGCACATGATGAACAAGAACCAGAGAGTTCTGAAGCTCCAACAACTCGTCAATCAGATCGTGTGAGACGTTCCAATTGGCACTCAGATTATGTTATAGAAGGAAATATTGCATACTGCCTTTTAACAGAGGACAGCGAGCCATCAACATACCAGGAGGCAATAAACAGCTTAGATGCTTCACTATGGATGTTGGCGATGCAAGAAGAAATTGAAGCCCTTCATAAAAATAATACATGGGACCTTGTGCCATTACCACAAGAAAGAAAGCTAATTGGTAATAAATGGGTCTTCAAAATCAAGCGAAATGGTGACGATCAAGTGGAAATGTATCGTGCAATACTAGTGGTTAAAGGATATGCTCAAAAAGAAGGTATTGATTTCAATGAAATCTTTTCTCCTGTGGTTCGACTAACAAAAATTCGAGTAGTCTTGGCAATGTGTGCTACATTAAACTTACATCTAGAGCAACTAGATGTTAAAATAGCTTTTCTTCATGGAAATCTTGAAGAAGAGATTTATATGCTCCAGACTGAAGGTTTTGAAGAAAAAGAAAAGAAGAACTTGGTTTGCAGGTTGAACATATCTCTGTACAGTCTAAGCAGGCGCCGAGGTGTTGGTATAAGAGATTTGTTTCCTTCATTATGTGCCTTGGATACAACAGACTTAATGCAGTTCCTTGTGCTTATTTCAAGAGGTTTAGTGATAACAATTTTGTTATATTGCTGTTGTATGTGGATGGCATGTTGGTTGCAGGACCCAACAAAGATCATATTGAAGAATTGAATGAACAACTGGATAGGGAATTTGAAATAAAGGACTTAGGATCAGCAAACAAGATTCTAGGGATGCAAATTCACCGAGACAGAAGTAATAGGAAGATTTGTCCTTTACAAAAGAATTACTTGAAGAAGATCTTGTCACGATTCAACATGCAAGATTGTAAGCCAATTTCTACCCCTCTTCCTATTGACTTCAAATTATCCTCCAATATGAGTCCTAGCAGTGAATAAGAGAGGATGGAGATGTCTCGAGTACTGTATGCATTAGTAGTGGGAAGTTTAATGTTCGCTGTTATATGCACAAGACCAGACATTGCACAAGCAGTGGGAGTGGTTAATCGGTACATGGCGAATCCAGGCAAATAGCATTGGAGTATGGTAAAGAGGATCCTGAGATACATCAAAGGGACCTCAAATATTGCATTATGTTACGGAGGATCAAACTTACTTATCAATGGGTATGTCGATTCTGACTATGCAGGGGATTTTGATAAAAGCAAATCTACTACAGGATATGTGTTCAAAATTGCTGGTGGAGCTGTAAGCTGAGTTTGAAAATTGCAGTCAGTTGTGGCTACATCCACAATAGAGGCAGAATATGTAGCAGCTACACAAGCTAGTAAAGAAGCAATTTGGTTGAAGATGCTATTGGAGGAGCTTGATCACAATCAAGAGTATGTCTCTTTGTTTTGTGACAGTCAAAGTGTCTTGCATCTAGCAAGGAATCTAGAATTTCATTCAAGAACAAAACACATACGAGTTCAGTACCACTTCATTCGTGAAAAGGTGGAAGAAGGAACGATAGATATGCAGAAAATCCATACCAAAGACAACATATCAGATTTCATGACAAAGGTAATCAATGCTGATAAATTTACCTGGTGTCGATCATCTTGTGGCATGTTAGAAATGTAAGCAACATGATGGTACAAGGTAGAAAGAATGGTGTGAAGATATGATTGTTCCAATCAAATCTTCAAGTAGGAGATTGTTGAAAGTCAAAGGAGAAATCGGTGCATTAATGCACCTAATCCAAGCGGTGGAATTGTCAAAAGCAACATACATTTTTGTTGAAAATGTGCAAAGGTAAATTGTGCAAGGGTAAATTACTCAATTTAGTCCCTGCACTTTAGGGTATTTACAAGATTAATCCTTAAGCTTCAATTATAAATACCCTAACTCGTTTAGCTTCAAACCATCCCAAATCATTCTAGCTTTCTCCCAATACTAGAGAATTTAGAGAGTTTTCTTGAGAGTTGTTTTCTCTTTTTTATCAAGAGAGAATTGTCATTATTTTCTCCATGGTAGATAGAGAGAAGTTGTAATTCTTATTTTCTCATAGTAAAATTATTCTACCGTCCCGTGGCTTTTACCCTATATTATTTAGGGGTTTTCCACGTAAAATTTGTGTCTCTTTTATCTTCATTTTTATTTTCTCAAATTATTAGTTGCGATTTTGCTCTATCCGATAGCCGTCTTCCGCAACATCTACTCTCTATGTAACAACAATATCACCTCTTCTGATAGTCAGAAACAAAGTGTTAAGCCAAGACCATGTCTGCTCGATGACCCAAAATTGATTTTTTTCAACCGAAGTTGATATGCAAGAGGAAGATGGCTCCCTCGAAAATCTTCCTGCCATAAGGATATATGATGAGCATGTTAATATGAGGTTTCTTGTTTGTGAATCACCACGCCTATTGGTAGGTTCAAGTTTTTCCTTGTTCAAAAAACAATCATATACTACTAATATATTTTGTTCATCCTGTCCTGTTTTATATTTGTTATTACTGTATGCCCTGCAGGATGCATCCCTATTGGGATCTTGGGAGGATGGACTTAATGCGCGCTTTAGCATAAAAGTAAGGTGTACATGTGCTTTTTTCTCCTTGGATGTATATCTTTAATTTACCGGTTTCAGCTTATATGTTTATTTCCACTCTCATCTTTTGAACATCATACTATAAGAGATTAAATTAGTTATTGATGCACCTAGATTTCGTTAGTCACTTGGTGAATGGTAACATTGTGTTGTTTACCCTTAATTTTTAGATATTTATTTAATATAAAGTCAGCAGAAATGGGAAACAATCATCTACTGGTCCAACCACACACATAAAAACACCCATAGATTTTTGTTTCCCTCCGGTTCATTCCAATTACTCTCAAACCCCAGGTCCCCAGTCACCACTCTTCTTCTCTTATCCCCTTCTTAGTCCTTCCTTCCATTCCAATATCTTGAAGAAGTTAAAAATCTCATCTTTTAATTTCCTCAATGTTCCTTCAAGGGACTTTTTCAATGGAGTTCACTTGTTTGCATCACAAATTCAATTCCCCTCCTTTACCTCACCTTTCACTTCCATTCTGCAAGAGCCCTAACCCCAGAATATTTCCTAGAAAAAGAAACAATCTTTTTCTGGCTTCGGCTTCTGATACCGTCGTTGCCGCTTCAAGAAAGGAGCTCGGCAGCAAGAAAGACAATGAATTTGGGGACTTGAAATCTTGGATGCACAAAAATGGCTTGCCTCCTTGTAAAGTTGTGCTCAATGAGAGGACTTCCCGCGATGAGAAGCATAGCCCTATACATTATATTGCTGCCAGTGAGGATCTTCAGGTAAACAAAAATGGCTTCAAGTTTTTGTTTCCTTTTTATTTTTATTAATGGGGTTGGTTTTCTAGGCAGGTGATGTTGCTTTCTCGGTGCCGAATTCATTAGTTGTTACGCTTGAGAGAGTGCTGGGAAACGAGACTGTTGGTAAGGTGCAACTATATAAAATTGTTTTAACATTTTATAAAGCACTGAATGTTCTTTACAATATTGGGAAATTGATTCATATGGGATTTTTGTGTGTAAATGATAGACATTGGTGTTCTTGTTTTTGTGTAAGTTGATTCAGTATTGTTCTCTATTGGATTTAGTCGTGTAATTATGTTTACTTGCCTGGCCTTTTTGTACAGCTGAACTTTTGACAACGAACAAGTTATCTGAATTGGCATGCTTAGCTCTGTACCTAATGTATGAGAAGAAGCAAGGGAAGAAGTCATTCTGGTATCCCTATATTAGAGAGCTTGATCGTCAACGAGGAAGGGGCCAGCTGGCTGTGGAATCTCCCCTTTTATGGTCCCAAGATGAATTGGCTTACCTTACGGGTAGCCCCACTAAGGTCGCATACACATCACAATTATGTTCTTGTGTGGTGCATTTACTTGATTTCTTGTTTCACAGTTCACCGAGTTTCGTGACTGTATTCTATTGTTTACAAGCTAGGCTGAAGTGCTCGAAAGGGCTGAAGGAATAAAAAGAGAGTATAATGAGCTTGATACGGTCTGGTTTATGTCCGGGTCTCTCTTTCAGGTATTGTCTGTCATCCTTTTTTCCTTTCTAAAGCTTGGAGCTCAAAGTGTGATCAAGAATGTTTCTTTTTATCTTTTCATTGCAGCAATATCCGTATGATATACCTACTGATGCTTTTCCGTTTGAGATTTTCAAACAAGCCTTTGTCGCTGTTCAGTCTTGTGTGGTGCATTTACAGGTGATTTTTCTCTTTAGCTGGTGGTAACCTTTACCAAGTTCCCTTTAACTTAAAGAAATATATTTTCACCCTTGAAGACATGATCAACTTATTAGATGGCCATAGTCTTTATGACTGATTTATGTTTGAATGATAAACCGAGACATGTTTTTCATTAGAAAGTACCTTTGGCTCGGAGATTTGCATTGGTTCCTCTTGGACCCCCATTGCTAGCTTACAGGAGCAATTGCAAGGCAATGCTAAGTGCAGTTGGTGGTGCTGTTGAGCTAGTGGTTGATCGCCCGTATAAGGCTGGGGAGCCCATTGCTGTCTGGTATAAGTATAAACATATAATGCTTTATTTAGTTGCCATAATGCCGATTTCTCTCAGTTATGCTTTAGTATCGAGACAACAAACTTTTGCCTTTTAATTATCAGAACAAAATTTGACATTGGTAAATTGCTTGTTTCTTTCAGGTGTGGACCACAGCCTAATTCAAAACTGCTTATAAACTACGGCTTTGTTGATGATGATAATTCTTATGATCGCTTGGTGGTTGAGGTAAAATCTAAATTGTCCAACTACCAACTATGCAATAAAATCTATTCTCATGAACGAATAAAGGTTTATGCTTATGTGCTCAAATATCTAATATATGTTGAAAAAGGACATCAATGAGGTTTGATATTTCGTGTTTTTCTTCGTCGACCAAGTTGAGAGCTTTATTTACTGTATGTTCAGGCAGCTTTGAATACTGAGGATCCTCGATATCAGGACAAGAGATTGGTTGTTCAAAGAAATGGCAAACTATCAGTGCAAGTTTTTCATGTATCAACTCAAACCTCGTATTAATTGGATCATGTTGTAAGATATTATCTTCCCAGACTTATTTGTACCGGCTGCAGGTTTATGCAGGGAAGGAAAAAGAAGCTGTCTCCGATATGCTTCCATATTTGCGATTGGGCTATGTTTCGGATCCTTCTGAGATGCAATCTGTTCTTTCTTCTCAGGGTCCAGTCTGCCCGGTGAGTTCGTTTATTGCAAATTGTTACTGCATCACTATATTGTACTTGTAAATTTGTAATGCAAGATTTGTCCTAATACTGGTGAAATACTTGCCATAATAGGTTAGTCCATGCATGGAACGAGCAGTGCTAGACCAGCTTGCTGATTATTTCAATAGACGCCTGGCTGGCTACCTTACTACACTGAATGAAGATGAGTCATTGGTAACACTTGTTATCTCCACCAAGTTGACGATTATATCCGAACTCACGAACTGTTAGTTTTAATTTAACGATCTTTTTTTTGTTACGTTAGTTGTCAGATACAAACTTGAATCCCAGGCGACGAGTTGCCACTCAACTTGTTAGGTTGGAAAAGAAAATTCTCCACGCTTGTCTGCAGGCAACAACTGAACTGATAGGCGAGTTGCCTGATCACTCTGTGTCTCCGTGCCCTGCACCTTATGCCCCCTTGTTGAAATAGTGCATGTTCTACTAGCGTCACGCCGACTCTTCGATTTTCTTTGAGTACCAGTGTTCGGCACCCGTGTCCAACACATCAGGATATGTATCCGACGCTTACCTCAAATCCGAGTCATTGATGCCATGATGATCAGTAAGTGAATGGTTCTTCAACATGCATATCAACTCCAAGAGTGTCTTCTAGCTGTAGTGTTATAACTGCAGATTTGGATGATCCTTTCTTTTTCATTAAATTGAATCTGGTTTCTTTCATTTGTTGACTTCCCCCTCAATTCTAACTCCGTAGTAGAGCTGGTTTTGACTTGAGATTTGTATATTCGTTTCGTGTTTGTTTTACTGACAGAGAACTTCAAAAATATTATAAACCCAAACTCGAATACCCAATGATGGGAATGACATGACAATCTGTATATTCGTGTAACCACTCAATCCATAATTATTGTTAAATGAATATTCCAATTCTGATGTTTTGAATTGAGAAAATTAAATTTTCATAATATATTTTTATAATATTTAATTGAATTTGACAAATAAATTAAATACCGATGTTTATATATGGAAAACCCAATTTAAAAGTGAGAATATATACCCAAAACAAGAGCGGAAGAAGACAAAGCAATGGGTTGGGCTTTTAATTGACATGGGTTGCTTATCTTATTGGGCGTTTGTCGCTTATATTTTCATTCCTCAAAAACCCTATGGTAGCGTTTATTAGAATATTTCTGAGGGAATTAGAATCAGTGAAAGAATTGAAATCTGTCAGGAATTGGAATCCAATTTCATATTTTGTTTGGTTGGCAGAAAATTGAATTGGAATCCAATTTCATATTCTGTTTGATTGCAAGACATGTCAGATAAATTTGATTCAGTAGTGTAAAATAACATGATTACCCTTCTTGTTTTTTTTTGCTTAATTTTAGTTTGTTTTATAAATTACACATATCAATATATTATAATTTTTTTTAAAATATTAAATTTTAATTTTGTTAATTGATTATTCATCTCAAAAAATTATAAAAATCATGCTAATAAACATCATAAGTTAAAATCATCACAATTAGGGATGACCATGGGTCGGGTTTTTGGTCTACCCGATCCGAGAATAAGGGAACCTCCATCCGAGACTCAACCCGATCAAAATAAAGTTTCACCCGACCCTACCCGAATATATGGATTAGAAATCTGACCCGAAATAATAGAAAAATTATTTTTATTCAATAAAAACAGTGGCTTAATTAAAAAAATTTTATATAAATGGATATTATTGTAATTATTCTTAAATATAAAAATTATATATATATATATATATATTTGGGTCGGGTCGGTCGGATATTTCTCACCCTAAACCCGAACTCAACCCGACCCGACCCGAATATCACACTTAAAAAAACGACCTGACCCGAATATATAAATTAAAAACTCGACCTGAAATAATAAAAAATATTTTTATTCAATATATAAATAAGTTACCAAAAAATTAATGAGCGTAGTATAGTCAAATTTCAATTCCCTCCAATAAGAGAATTAAATTTCATCATAGAATGTATGTAATTCATTTTACCTGATTTGATAAAAAATTGAAGTCATATGAACTAAACATGAAAAAATGATGAAATTAGATTCTAATTCTACTAATTACAAGAAATTACCGCAAACCAAACGCCACCTAAATTCCTCTAATCTACATATTCTGGTTTGAAAGCTCGCACCGAGAAATCCAAGATCCATTGCTCTGCTTTAGTCTGATCAAATTGCGTTGGGGTTTCTTTTATTTCTCTATTCAGTTATGCTCCTCAAATCCCAAACCATATCTTCTTCCATTTCTAGTCTTAAGCTTAATTCCAAATCTTTCTTGAACCCTAACTTCACCCTCCAATTAAATCACATTTCAAGCCTCAAAGTTGTTTGGAGAAAAGATCAGAACTTGGACCGAGCCATTGAAAACGATAAACGGTACAAGCTCTGTGCTCAGGTCGTCAAGGAAGTCTTAAATGAACCGGGTCAAGTCATCCCTCTCCGCTACTTGGAAAAAAGGCGGGAGAGATTACGCCTTAATGTCAGAGTTAAAACCTTTATTAACAATAACCCTGGTCTTTTCGATACTTACTATGATCGAATTAGACCCAAATCCGATCTTGTCCCGTTTTTGCGGCCTAGTAACAGGCTGAGGAATTTCCTTGAAGAGGAAAAACGGATTTTTGATGAAAATGAGGAGTTGGCTGTTTCTAAGCTTTGTAAATTGTTGATGATGTCTAGATATAAGGTGATTAGTGTTGATAAATTGGTTCATGTAAAGAGGGAATTTGGTTTGCCGAATGATTTTTTGGTTAACTTAGTGAGCAAGTATTCAAATTACTTTAGGTTAACAGGGTCCCCCGGAGAGGGACAATCGTTTTTGGAATTGGTTGAGTGGAATCCTGAGTTTGCTAAGTCTGTTATTGAGCTAAGAGCAGAAGCGGAATCAAGGTTAACGGGGGTTCGAGTTAGGCCAAATTTTAGCTATAAGTTACCACCGGGTTTTTCTCTTAGGGAAGAAATGAGAGAGTGGGTTAGGGATTGGTTAGAGTTGGATTATACATCTTCGTACAAAGATATGTCGAATTTGGATAAAGCTTCGCCTGAAATGGAGAAAAGGATGGTGGGGGTTTTGCATGAGTTACTTTCCCTTTCATTGCTGAAGCGGGTCCGGTGCCGATATTGGGTAAGTTCACCAATGACTATAGGTTTTCAAATGCTTTTTCGAGTGCATTCACGAGGCATTCAGGGATTTTCTACATGTCGCTAAAAGGTGGGATAAAGACTGCAGTGCTAAGAGAGGCGTATAAAGGTGATGAGTTGATGGATAAGGATCCATTGCTTGAGATAAGGATAAGTTCGATTCACATCAATTGTATTTTGATATAATTTTAACTAGGTGACGTATAATTTAAGTATAATTTTTGATATAATCTTTATGTTAAGGGTTTGAATCCCTTTCTTAGCACCCAAACATCATAATTTTTCATTTATTTCGTTATCTAACAAGTTAAGACCCTTGATCTTTATGAACCAGACTGCAGTAAACAGATACTGCTAATCTTCTTAGTAAGTAGCCTTCTATATAGATTCTGACCCAACTCTCACTATCAGAGACAACCAAATCAAGCCATTGAGACCGTAGCTCGATTTACGGCAGTCTGATTTGTGTTCGAGTTCTGCCTCTGCTGGCTAGCTGTTGTTTTCACAGTCAGATCTGAACCTCCAAAACAGAAATATTGTCTCTTTAACCCTTTCTTGGTTGATCCTTGCTTCTTGGTTGTATTAAGTTTTTCGTCATCAAAACTTGAAATGGAGCAAGATGGTCCGACGATATCGTTGTTGATGAAAATTCCCTTTTGTTTATCCATTGAGCTCGGAGAAGAAATGGATGACTCGGAGAACGAACTCGACCGAGATCTTCCGGCCGGAATCGTTAACTGCGGCATGGCTTCCATAACACCTGATGCAAGTTTCTTCTTTGCAATTGGGCTGGACTGGATGCTCCTCACAGACAGTGCTCTCTTTTTGTTAGCTAGTGATGAAGGCTTTGAAAATCTTTGTCTAAGTGGGATTGGAGTTTCTTCCGAGCAACACTCAGTTGATTTCTTCGATCTTTTCGCCTTTTTCCCCTTCATCCGAGGCCAATGGATAGCGCTTTTCAATCTCCGTGCTGCGTTAGCAACCGAATGCTTCCTGTTTTCATCACCAGAGTCGAAATCTATCGTGGAAGAAGAACTTCTTCCTCTGCTACATGGATCATTACCGTTGTATGCATCCCGTGTTGTCTCGACCCCTGTATGCAAGAAGATTTCGGTGTCGGATATCCGGAAAGAAGTTCCGGGACTGCTTCCATGCTGCATCTTTAAGTGTGAAACAATGGCTTTTCTTGCAGCATAGTCCTTGCAACGAAACATTCCCCCGGCTGAAACCAATTGTCGTATAAGCATATCCGATGAAGCCGAACAAGGCCTTTGTCGGAGTAGATCGAGTGGAGTCATTCCATTTGCATCACTGATGTTCACGTCAATTGTTTGTGCGGACATCAGGAGTTCAACCAGGTCGGTGTGAACATTCCCAATGATGGCCAAGTGAAGTGCAGTCCTTCCATTATTGTTTTTAACATTAACAATATCTTCCATGAACTTTTTTTTGTGTACCAGTTCCTTCATAAGATTGATCTGTCGGTCCACTCTTCTAAACAAAGGGGTCTGAAAACCAGACACCGTGTAATGGAGAAATGTTTCACCGGCATTGTTTCTTATGGAGATCAATGAGGGAGACACCGATATCAAAGCATCGACTACGGCTGCTTGGCCCCTGTAAGCAGCAATATGCAACGCTGTGTTGCCTTGATCATCTACAGAGTCGATGATATCGAAAGATGCAACCAGGTTTTTTACCACCTATAAAAAGAAACATTGCCTTCATTACAAGGTAATAAAGCTTAACCACTAGCATAAACATTGTTTACTTGAGAGTTGAGCCCAACCTCGACTTGGCCTCTGCCTGTGGCAGCATGCAACACGGTCGAACAACGCTTATCTCGTTATGCCAGAACGTCTGTATGATAACCATTAAGAAGCTCCATTAAAACCTTTGAATTCCCTCCTCTAGCAGCAGCATGAACAGCTTTGTTTGTGATCTCCCATTTATAAACAGGAGGTATTTCCCCTATATGTTCTTCGAATCCTTCGCCTTTCTCTATTGAAAACCTTGGCGAGACTGCAAAGTCATATATAAGCGTGAAAACCTCAGAGCTTTTGCCTCTGGCAGCGGCATACAGAATATCAGTAACACCATACTCTCCTTCACCAAAAACAAGCAAAGGATTCCTTTCAAGAAGTTCTTGAATGAATCCCAAGTCTCTGGCCGATGCAGCCGTGTACATGAGCCATCCACCGTAGCCACACCTGATAAGGGAATTCTTCGCTTTCTTCGACTCACATTCGATAAAAAGCTTCCTAGCAACTTGAGAACGACACTTTGCAACATCATCAAACTGTTCTTCATCATCCCACACAGTCTCGAGCCGGCGAATCCGCCTCAAAGAGGTCAGCTTGATGAGATGATTGCCGTCGATCCGAAGAAGCTCACGGACCAAATCGTAATGGCCATTAGCAGCGGCCCAATCTATAGGAGAAGCATACCACCATTGGTCGCCGGTGCTTTCCCATCGAAGAGGAAAATACGTAGGAAGCATTTTGAAGACGAATAACAAGAGAAACAAACTCTATGTTCATATGAATTCCAGAGAAACTTGCAGTCTAAATACCCAGCATCTCAGCAATGGCCCTATCGGATTTAATGCAATAAAAGCAAAAGCTTCAACAAGGAAAGGCTCAACCAACTAGTACAATAAAACTAAAGCTTTGCTTGATGCAAAGAAGGCAAGCATAAATCACATGGAAGGAAATAAAGGAAAATTTTTAAATGCCGAACTAAATAGACCCAGAAATGGTTACCTGTTATTGATTCAAGCAGTTGAACTGCATGCATCAAAACCCATTGAAACGCCCTGAAAAGAGAATGAAGTAGAAGAAAGCATGTGCAGAGAATAAATGCTTTCTTTCCAGTTTTGATTGATAAATAATATGATGTGGCATTTGAAAGGAAATAGCAAATTATCACCCTCTAAATACTTACAAATCTTGAATGGAAAATTAAATATACTCGTATCAAACTCGTATATATGTCCAACACTCGTACCTGAATCCGAGTTACAAAGTCTTCAACTGTGTAATAGTCCCTGTGTGGTTCATTCAAGTCAACAAGCACTCCCTACCAGTATACTAGTGCTTTCTCCAAATGTTAAGATTCGAACTTTACATTTGTTGAATCTTACTCTTGAAAAATAACTAAAACTATTCCGAAAATCGAACAAATCCGAATTAAAAATCGATCTCAAGATTGAAACTTGAATAATTTGTTGTTTTAAAGATAACAATTAAGACATGGTGTGGTGTTCAAAATCCAACTACTTTAAAAGTAAGCAATGCCATGTGAGGGGAAAAAAGAACATTTTAAGTATTTTTTTATGGATACGAAATATATTGAAAAAGGCCGAAAGTAGAAGGGTGGGTTTCCTTGCTTTATCAACAATAATGCATGTGATATGTCAAATCTTATCATCTTTCCTTTGCTGTGCTTTGTATTATGTTCATGCTTCCCACCATTGTTGTTTTCTTTAAATTGTGATCTTACATGTCTCTTTCTTGCCTTCAATGTCCATTATTATGAAGCTCGTGTATGTAATTATGGACACTATATGATAAAAGGAACAAAAACACGATATAAAATACGATACAATTCGAATATACTTCGAAAATATTACGGTACGCGGAAATATATGGATTATCTGAAATGCCATTACCCGAAAAATTAAAGATTTGGGGACCAAACTGAATGATGCAATGAAGTTTCAGTTGCACATGGAAAGTACCCGTGCGTGATAAAGTGTGATTTGGATAGAGGAGACAGAGAGGAATGGGACAACCGATTGATTCCTTGCAATGTCTAACAACATAGAGTAACACTCTATCTCATAATTTCTAATCTTTTTTTTTTTTTTTTAAACTCAAGTCTAATGTTTGCAGGAAAAGGTTTAGGGTCAGAGGGACAGAAGGTCGGTCTTGTTTATATCCACGTAAGAGAAAATAATAATTCATTGTGATCCATTATATATGTAGAAATTATGGATCGTTGTATCTCAAAGTATTATTTCAACATTATTTTTATAAATTGAAATAAGACACATACAAAAAATTGGATTTGATGTAATTAAATTTTATTTATTTTTCATAAATGAAAATAACGATAATCTACCGCGAATTATCAGATTATATAATTGACATTGACTTCTCGAAAGTTTAAGAGTACGAGTTCATGTGTATTACACGTTTTCTCAATGATATCCGACAAACTTTACGTGAGGCTTTTTTCGACCGGGACCGATGAGGGTAGTTTCAGAATTGAGCATATGATCTACTCCATGGTTGCCTAGATTATATTTGCACCAACCTACCACCGTGGCGGACTTGACTCATTTGGATGAGAATTGATGCTTTGGGTGCAGCGCTGGCTGATGACCCTCTTGGGTTTGTTAGTGTTGGGCAGCATACATTTGTTGTTGCACTTGCTCGTCTTGTCCCCACACCAACTGTTTGCCGATAACCCCATTAATGTACACAAGTGGTAAGTCTAGTCGTCTCTTTAAAAATTTTAAATTTAAATTTTTTTAGATATTTTTTATTAATAATATATTTTCGTTCTTTAAATATTAAATTTGTATATTTTTAAAATTTTATAAATTTGCCTTCTAAAATGAAATTTTATATCCATTCTTAAATAATCACATTTTTCAACGATTCCATCTGATTCCATGTTTATGTAAAATTTATGCCAGTAATTGTATAATCGAAAAGAAATTAAAATAAGTATTGATTTTTTTATAACATTTAAACTACCCATTATTTCAAAACTAGTTGTTATTAGTTAAAAATTTGAATTAATATCATGGATATGTCAAAGGGTTCAGTTCCATTTGATGATCTTCTATCAATTATTATTCAATATAAGTTTAATTACTCATTATTATTGATCAATTTCTTAGAATTAACATTTGAATTTTGTTTTATTTTCATTTTTTTATTACATGTTGTTAGGATTAACATTTGAGTTTTAGCTTATATCTACTTTTTCTTTTTAAACGAATGCAATACACAACGTTATTTAGAGTAGAATGTTTGTAGACATTAGTATATAAGTCGTAATCACGTTTAAAACATTTAAAGATTAAATAAATTTTGACAAAAGTGTCATGTTTGTGATAGTTTTCATCTCTTGCTTCATGCCTCAAATTGATTGACGTGATTCCCCAGGGAAAGATTGGTTCACGACTTTTTCTCCTGCATTTATTGACACTGATGTCACCGGTCTTAAAACACCGGCCTTGAAAAGTTGATAGAACAAAACAAAAATACTCAATCCAACAAAATAATAAAAAAAAATTAAATGTATGGGGGTTGGCTGATAAATGTTCCATGCAATCTTATATTCTCTGGCAACCTCTTCTAAATTTCAAGAAAATTCCCAGGATGCAATGATCGGTACGCCAAAATCACTCAGTTAACAGAAGCCATGTGCCGGATCAAGTCGATCACTCGGGAACTAAAAATAAATCGAGAATTAGACAAGCAGTGTTTAAGGTATTATCAAGCTATGGAACTAAGGAAACGTATGAATTTATACCTGTAACCCCATTCGTTGTCGTACCAAGCAACAAGCTTAACAAAGTTGTCACTCAAATCAATTCCTGCCTTGGCATAAAAAATGCTAGACCTTTTATAAAGCACAACAGAATCTTATCTTTAGTCCCAATTGCAATTTATGTAGTTTTCAGATTCGTAAAACTTAGATGCGCCAGAAAAACATCAACATTGTAGAAAACAGAATGCGGAATGAAACTTTGCACCTGGAGTCTCCAACAAAGTCTGTTGAGACTAAATCTTCATCCACGTAACCAAGAATTCCCTTCATGTTGGTTTCAGATTCATTCCTACACGAACAAAAGTTGTAAAATATATCATTATAGAGATTATCAATATTAAGGAAAAACATTAGGACAACTTAAGCATGAATCCCGAAGTTTGAAGTATCATTAACATTATCTGTTAAAAACATTCTAATCCTTGCTTGATGGCAGCCTTAATATTTTCATAATAAGCTGCCTTCTCAAATCTCACCGTTAAGTCAACCACAGAGACATCAACAGTGGGAACACGGAAAGCCATTCCAGTGAACTTGCCATTCAATGATGGCAACACTTTGCCAACGGCCTATGCGATTACAAGATAACCACCACAATCAACCATCACACTTCAATTCCAACGACTAATTATAACAATTACTGAGACCTCGTGCTTATAATCACTCACTGATGGATGGATAAGGGGACTAGGATGTCAAAATTTAAACATACCTTGGCAGCTCCAGTGCTGCTAGGAATGATATTGAAGGAAGCAGCTCTACCACCTCTCCAGTCCTTCATTGATGGGCCATCAACAGTCTTTTGAGTAGCTGAATTAAAATCACCAAGTTAGTTCAACAATACACGGTAGGTTGCAACAAGCAACAAAACACCATAAGTACTTACCAGTAATCGAATGGACAGTGGTCATAAGACCCTCAACAATGCCAAACTTGTCATGGATGACCTGTCACCATATTTACAGATCAAATAATATATTAAGATAACAGTATTATCCCAATACTCTGCACGAATAAGAGAACTCATTATTACTTACCTTAGCCAATGGAGCAAGGCAATTAGTAGTGCAGCTAGCATTGGAGACAATGTTAAGGTCGGCCTTGTATTCCTTCTCATTGACACCCACAACAATTATGGGGGCATCCTTACTGGGAGCAGAGATGACCACCTTCTTTGCACCACCCTGAAAAGCATTTTAGATAAGAATACCAAACATGAGAACTTTCCCTGGATCAAATAAAATAAAGACATTTTAATTCCAATAAATTTTCAAATATGGCCATCAAATAAACCTATTATAAAAGACACTATCACAAACCTTCAAGTGTGCAGCAGCTTTGTCCTTGTCAGTGAAGACACCAGTGGACTCAACAACATAATCAGCTCCGGTCTCACCCCATGGGATTTCCTCGGGGTTTCTATCATCAATTGAAAACAAATCATAAATAGTTTACGTGGCAAAAAATACAGCAATGCTCTTAAATTCAATTACAAAATCTATTCCAAAAGAAAGATTAATAACCACCTGAAGCCGAAAACAGTGACAGGCTTTTCACCAAATAGCAGGGTCTTTGAGTCCTTCACCTCAAGTTCATGGTGCTTCCATTGACCGTGAACACTATCGTACTTGAACATATAGGTCTGTGCAATATAATCATCAAATCATGTCAAAAATCAAATTATTAAGTTAACAACAATAACCAATTTCATTCTCTGTTTTTAAGTTGGTTAATAGTAAATCTCTAATAGATCTATCTATCAATAAACTGTAACAATTAAAAATTAAAAATTATTTCCAGCTAAAACCTATTAAAAAGATGTAAGAATCAAATCACGAAAAATAAACTCAAATAATCACTTTTCTATACTAAAACCAGATCAGCTCATTTTCCACTAAAAACATTCGACACAGGAATTTGATCAATGAAGCTCTCTACACACATGAAAGCTAACAAATACAAAGGAATGCGTACAAATGTGCGTATACGAACCATGTAATCAGTGGTGATGAAAGGATCCTTAACAGAAACGAGCTCAATATCATCGCTTTGGAGAGCAACTCTCGCAACCAGACGGCCGATCCTTCCAAATCCTTCACGAAACACGCAAAAGGAAATAAGATCATGATTTTTTTAAGAAAGTGAGAAATATTAAAAGAATACAATAAAAATAAATACCGTTGATTCCGATCTTGATCTTAGCCATGACGGAGAAACAAAAGCAAATATTAACGACGGCTGAGAGAAAGGTGAGTGAAGCACAGGTGAGTGAATGGTATTGACCGTAGGAAATGAACTGTGAAGGGTGGTTTATATATATGAAAGGGCTTTAACCAAAATGGAGGAAGCGTAGTTTGACGAAATTTTTTAGGGGAAAGTAGGGACCACAAAAATGGTAAGTGTCGATTGATTTGGTTGAATGTGGAAATGGTAAGAAACTGAAATGGTATTGGCGCGGGATGAAATTCTAGATAAATATTTAATTATTATTATTATTTTTAAGTAATAAATTTGAGGCATTAACTAAATATATTATCAAATAAATTCTGTTATCTTTGAAAAAAATAAGTCTTTTATCATATTAAAATATTTTGTTATTAATTTTATTGAGTGGTCTTAATAATATAAAAGAGTATTATTTTTTATAATATTTATATTTAAATAATTGTGTTTGCATGATGTGCGAGCATTATCAATAAGTTAAACAAAATTTGACCATATAATACATTGTAATCACCCAAAATTATTTAAAAATAATAGTTAGATATTCTCTATGTTGAGAGATCTTTCGATTGTATTGTCAGTCGGAATATTCAATAATTATGTGTCGTAGTTAGAGATAGTCATTTTATTCAAGTATGGTAGGTTCTTACCCGATCCTATATGGTCTATTTGTTTTTTTTAATTGAGTTTAAGTCAAATCAAATTCGAATTTATGAGAATAAATCCTTAACTCGATTTGATTCAAAATAATAGTATATTTTTTCTCTATTTATTTATGGATGGTTGTTGTAATATCCCTCTATCTTTTTTTCCCCAAATATCTCCCTATTTTATTGAATACGAATAAAAATTATATCTATATCTGAGTCGACTTGAATTTGGATTTTTACCTCAAATTTTGAGTTTAATAAAACTTCCGCGAATATGAATTAGATTGAGTTTTGATGGAAGAGATATCTTTTTATAAAATTAAATTTGATTGGTCAGAACCCGACCTGATTTGTAATTCTCATAATTATATTCTTAGAATGATATTTTCTAGGAATATTTGAGATTTTATCTTTCATATTGTAACATATTTTGAGTGGCATCTCGAAGGAGAGGATTAATTTTGAAATTTGTATAGATTATAGAGTATTTACAATGACTGACCCTTCGACGTCGAATCATTGTACGGTTAATTAAAGTATTGATAATGATAAGCCTCGATTGTAGAATTATATGAACTTTACAACTCGTTAGCATTGAATGGCCGATCAAATTCTTCACGTTATGCAATTAAGTCTGCATCGTCAAAGCTCTTAATTGAATCTTCGTGTGATGCCTTGACTTTGTAAGACAAATTATGGTATGAACTTTTTATCTTATATAATCTTTAGGTCATGTCTTTTTCTCGTGAAACGTTTTTCGGGACCTACCACAAAATAAAAAGACAAAATCTCAAATATTTTATGATATTATCATCTCAAAATACAATATTTGATTGTTAAAATTTTGACTAACTATACAATCAAAAGATTCATCAATACTTCTGTTCCGTTTTTAAAAAGTTTTCAAATATATATAGTCGTACTAATTCATAATTTAATTATATTGTCAATATTATTCTAATTTGATAAAAAAATTATTTTTAGTTCAAAATTTTGTTTGTTAAGATTAGGGGTGCTTAATGAGTTAAGCAACTCGTGAGCAGTTCGAACTCGACTCGATCAAAGTTCGGTAAAATTTGACTTGGGTTAATTTGACTCGAACTTGGCTCGAGATCTTAACGAGTTAAGTTGAGCAAAATCCAACTCGACTCGATAAGCTCGTGAGTAGCTCGTTAATTTTTTTATATGATTTTTTTAGTAGTTAACTTAAAAAATTATTTCATACTCTTAAAAATCAATCCTTATTTATTATTTTAATGTATTTGTGGATTATTACTTTAGAGTTTAGACTTTAAAATTATTTCATACACTCTTTTGATAAATTTGTTGATTAAATTTATTAATTTATGTTTATATTAAGTTCTATATAGTATTAGTAGATTTTACCTATAGATAAGAAAATAAAGTAAAATATTTTGTGAGCTTAACGATCAATGAGACGAGTAATGGGCATCGAGCTTAACGAGTAACGAGTTTAATGACCTTAATGAGTAACGAGTTTAATGAGCAATGAGTTGAGCAGCAAGTTTTCTTAACGAGTACGAGCCGAACAAAATTTTAACTAATTTAACGAGCAACGAGTCGAGTCGAGCAATACATTTTTTTAACGATCATGAATCGAGCATTGTCCAACTCGTGACCGACTCGCTCGATAAACATCCCAAGTTAAGATTCAGTTTAATATCAATTAACTTGATTTTATTCAAGGATTCTTTAATTATATTAAAAACTAAATTACACTAATGATCACTTAAGTATGAGTGGATTTATCTTTTAATTTTATCAATCAATCACTTAATTATGTAAATATTATTAATCAAACCACTAGCCGTTAATATTTAAATAGTTAACGGTTAATAATTTAATTTACATCATTTAAATAATTAAGTGATTTGATTGATAAAATTAAAAGATTGATGCCAGATTGGTCATTGGTGTTTACCCACCTATTTTTATTCACCAGTGCATGTTAGATTCAGCCCTTTCGTTTTCTCTCTGTCAAATTTCAAACGGCAAAATATGTCCCTTTATCCTCCCTTCCCCGTCCCAGATTTTCAAACAAAGGCGTCAACTTTTCTTAAAATTATAATTTGACCCCTTTAAAACCATCTTATAAATTCCCATTTTTGAAACTTTCTAGTTTGTCCAGAGAAAACATTTTCGAGAAGAAAAGGGAGGGATGACAATGGACAGAGAGAAGGAGAGGGAGATAGAGCTCGAAAGCGCAATGTACACGAACTGCTTGCTTTTAGGTTTGGATCCGTCGATAATCGGTCTCGGATCATCCAATGGAACCCCTCGTGTCGGACTCTTCCGTCACTCCAACCCTAAATTGGGTGAACAGCTTCTTTACTTCATCCTCTATTCTCTTTGTGGCCCCACTCAATCAGCCAGAGTAAAATATCATTGTCTCCGGTTCGGTTTACTTTTGATCTGGTCTGTATTTGTTTTGAGTTTAGTTTTGATTTTGGATATTTTCAAGATTTCGATAGAGTTTGGCCGATTTTCGACTCAGCGCAATCTCTTGATTTTCGGAAGGTTGAATTATTTATTTATTTATTTTCGTGTTTCTATTTTTCTTTTTATTATTTGTTTGAATTGTTATTTGCTTATTGATAATTTAGGTTGTGCAAGGTATAATTAGTGAGCTGGAAGCACAAGGAGATCTACCAAGGAGTAATTCGCGGGTTTCTTCGCTTGCTACATGCTGTGGACCAAGGTTAGCTGGATAGTTTCTGTTTGTGTGCCTAGAAAATTCAATAAAGTTAAGCACAATGGAAAAGTGTATTAATTGGCTGGACTCTTTAACTTAGTTCTATCTGAACTTGGCCCCATTACAGTGAATATTTTACAATAACACTGAACTTTACTGTAATGTAAAGTCTGAATTTTTTTATGTACATGTAGGTTTTCTTGGTAGATGATATTTGTTAATTCGTCATCACATTGGGGTTTCCTATGTGTTTGGTTGCAGATTTGTTGAACTTTTGTGGCAACTTTCATTGCATGCTTTGAGGGAGGTTCATAGACAGACTTTTGCACCAGACGTTGCTTCTAACCCGTTGCCTGCACCATTAACTGATGTTGCATTTTCTCATTCTGCTACACTACTCCCTGTAACAAAGGTAATGCTGCTCTGTTGACTGTTCATTCATATGAAGTACAATTGTATTTTCTTTGGTTTTTCTCTCCTTCTGATATCATAGTTCACTTGATTTAGAGTTTCAGCAATAGTTTCAAACTTGTTTTTCTTGACTTCCATGGCAGTAAAATAACATGCTTATAAACAGGCTCAAATTGCACTTGAGAGGAGGAGATTTCTGAAAAATGCGGAAATATCAGTGCAGAGGCAGGCTACATGGTCAAATTTGGCTCATGAAATGACTGCAGAGTTTCGTGGTCTTTGTGCTGAGGAGGTAAGCTAATAATCACTCATTTAAACTCTTTCTGAGCATTCATGTCAAATTATCAATATAATTGATGTGGTTTAGGTAGAAAATGGCAGTAAATCAACAGAATTAATACTAACAAAATGTGTAAGATAGAAATGGGAATTCTTGAAAACATAGGGTCATAATTAAGCTGTTAAATAGGTTTACAGCCACGACCTTATTATTTTCCCTTGAATTAATAGACGCCAGAACCTGGAGGTTTTTATAACTCTGCGTTTTCAAGAGTTTTAACTTCTATCCTACAAGATTTTTACTTTTTTAGTTGTAATAATTGATTTTCTGCTGTTTACTCCCTAAGCCACACCAATAATCCCCTTTATCCTTTTTGTTAAGTGATCACTTTGACTTAATATATTTAACTAATATCTTGGAGAACTTAGATCACTCATTTTGAGCTCTTTTTGTGTATTTATTTCAAATTGTAAATATGATTCTCTTGCCTCTTTTTCCTTGTCGTTAAGGGATGATTTTGACTCAATATATTTAACTAAGGCCTTGTAAAACATGGATCTTAGGCTTATTTGCAGCAAGAGCTCGAAAAACTTCATGATTTGAGGAACAAAGTGAAGTTGGAAGGGGAGCTATGGGATGATCTTGTCTCCACTTCAAGTCAGAATTCTCATTTGGTTTCAAAGGCCACTCGCTTGTGGGATTCTATATTGTCTCGTAAAAGTAAGTACAAATGAATCAACTATGTTCAATTTTTTCTTCATTATATTATTTGATTTCATAACCTTTATATTATCAAACTATATGTCCAGGTGAGCGTGAAGTTCTTGCTTCAGGCCCTATTGAGGATTTGATTGCACATCGGGAGCATAGGTAATTTGCCACCACATGTTGATATGGTCCTCTTAGATGGTTCATATGACACTTTTTTCTTCCCTTTTCATAATTTTATTTTCTAGGTACCGCATCTCTGGATCATCTTTGCTTGCAGCTATGGATCAGAGTTCTCAAGTTCC